TTATACAGAATTAAGAAATACGAATATATAAAAAAAAATATGTGCTGCGGCAAAATATAACAATACAAAGAATATGACAATACAAAGATATAACAACATATAATACATATACTTTTAACAACTTATACTTTTAACAATTTATATTTTAAAATATTTTTTTTTTTAAAACATTTTTGTTCCAAAATATATTTTAATTAATTTTTATTTTATATTTCGAAGCATTCTAATAATCTCAACTTATTTAACTTTCTGATCCCAGAAAGAACATAAAATGAATAGCTTTAGAACTTCGTTAGAATACTATTTAAAAATTATTTCGATTTCATTGCGAATTTATTTAGATTAAAAAAAGGTGCTTTTTAAATCCAAAAAAGATTTGCAATTATTGACATAAAAGTGAATTTTTTTGAGATCCTTAGAAATATTTTTAGAATAGAAATGGAATAGAAAAATAATTCATTTTGTAAACCAATGAAAAAAGTATTCTTTTTTCTCTGCTATCTGGGAGTATATAAGGTTTTAACTTTTTATTCTGCTGATTTACAATATTCTAGCGGTGTAATACTTGTTTTACATATTGTAACAATTATAACAGGACACATATTATGAAATAGATTTCGATCAAAATAATTCCGATTTTTCTTACAAAATACAATAGAAATCTAGCAATAACTCCACATTGGAATCTATTCGGAATAATTCCATAATACGTATCCTGAAATATTGAATTCTGAGATATTTACCAATCAAACTAATAATAATACAACTGAATAATACTTGTACCAGCAAAACGAAACTTATTACATCAGACAAGAGTTCCGCAAGGCTTATTAAATAACGATGTTTTAGTGTCAATATTGAAAAATATTCATTTATGTTTCTGCTTTTCACACCATAGTTAGTAAACTCGATTTTTAGAAGTTCCAGTTGACCGCAAACGTGGAGAGTGATTGCGAGAAAAAGTGAATCATTACCTTTATAAATATATCTCAATGTTGCATTAAAATATTTTATATTGAAAATTTTTAATTATAATAAAAAAATTATTAGTTAAGAAAAAGTTAGTAGTTCTTCTGAAAAAGTGATTTAAAAAAATATAAATAATATTACGTGTAGCAATTATAGAAAATACAAATACGATATCTATTAAAAATATAATGTCTATTAAAAAGTATATGGAAATTTAATGCACATGTGTGTATATGTAATATAAATAAAAATGAAGTTTTAATTAGACATCAAGTTTAGTTTAAATGTGAATAATAAATAAAATTATTGAAATGAAAGTGTAATTAGGAATTTTATTAATAAATTTTATGAAAACTAAAATAAATTCGTATTCTATATAAAATAAATTTGTATTTGTATACAAATCTCTTTGATATTAACAATTAGCTTATTACCACAATTGCTGGTACCAGTAAGCAGCAGTATAAAATATTGCACTGTAGAGATTACAAAATATAAGCCCGTAGGTATTTGCAAATTTCCTAAAAATGTTATGGGCACTGGTAATTTTGCCGCTTGATTTTTAATGGTTATATTAACGTGGACATTCTCATCGTCTGTTATCATAGGAGCCAGCGTAAAAATTGATGAAGCTAAGTAAGTAAAAAATATGGTACTATAACAAATCATTCTTCCCATAAATGCGTGCTGCCGCATGATTGTGCGCTTCTCCTCGCTGTCAATTGTAGAATAATCGTTCACAGCAGAAGAGTAATTGCGAATCAGATTGTCAGCGTATAAGCGGAACGACAATAGCTTTAGTACACAGAGAACGTTGCAGGACATAAGCATTAGAGCATCAAGTTTTATATATGCATCGCTGCTACCGAAAATGATTTCGAGAAACAATATGATCATCATCAGAGTCTACACAGATAGAAAGTACTATTTATTATGTAAAGCTCTATTACAGTTTCGTTTCTACTATATTTATGCTGCACCGAACGCTTTACTTGATCTGTCGAACTTGATATATTGAATATTCTTGTAAATGATACAGAAATTGCATTGAAATACGTAATATGAAAATTGAAAACGTACCATACTGAAGCCGCACACGATAGAACGAACTAAAGAAAATGTATTATATTTTTGCAATGGCCAGACGCCTAATGGCAGAGTTAAGACTTTGAAAGGAGTCATAGCGTAGGCCACATCATCATTCCATGACATTATCTCAGTCATGTAGACTACACGTTTCACGATATTCAATAATATCGGTCCTAATATGTCCATAATATGAATCGATCATCGGAAATGTTCGCTTTCACATTCATATTTTATTGAAACTGCACAATTTAACATTTACTAAAGTACCTTGTTATTTTTCAAAACACGATTATTTTTGAAAGAAATTATTCATGGAAGTATAGTGGGGTAAAGATCGAATGTGTGGATGGAGGGAGTTCATTTTTTTTTTTCCAGTACATCATGTTGCATTGATCGTGCTATAATTCCTTTTATTCCAATATTTTTTCATCAAAAACATATACGATTCAGAATTTAGTGCTTCAGAGTTGTTAATGTCACTAAAATTATTTAAAGGTACTTTATATTTTGCTATTGATACTTTTAATTTAGTTTGAATTAAGAAATGTATTGTAATTACATTTTTATAATTATAATTAACATCATCTCTTGCAAAAGGTTTTTATTTGTTCTTTGATTGATATTGAGTTATGAAATAATTACTTCCATGACTTTTTGTTAATAATTGATATTATTATTATTATTATTATTATTATTATTGATATTTATTTATTTGACTCGAGCTTTAGCTCGATAATTTTACACATCTTAACAAGTTGACATTATTCAAAAAAGTTTTTTAAATATATGAGTAACAGAAGAGATAAAGAGTAGATAAATAATTTTTTGATACCTTTCAGTTTTTAATTTTTTAGCTGTGAACAACTAACTTATACATATGTATGGCTTAAGAAAGTAATTGCACATTTACAAAACGCGTATATATATATATATAA